CTCAACACTGTTATTATTATCATTAAATGGACCAGCTCAACACTGTTGTTATTATCTTAACTGTGACCAGATCAACACTGTTGTTATTATTATCATTAATTTGACCAGCGCAACACTGTTATTATTATCATTAAATTGACCAGCTCAACACTGTTATTATTATCATTAAATTGATCCGCTCAACACTGTTATTATTATCTTATATCTGGTCTTTGAACCAGATCTCAAGAGCTGAAGTTATGATGGTTTGATGTCTTTTAAATTGGTCAACCAGAGCTACATCACCTTTCTAGGTCTCACACCTGAAGCAGAGCATCTTTAATCTGACAATAATTTACTTTATTCTGAAGTCTCAGATCATTTAGAAACATATTTCATTTACTTTATACTTTGTGTGAAAAATATATGTTGAAGAACAAGTTTTTCCTTTGATGTTTTTGCTTCAATCTGCCTTGTTGGTTTAAAAGTGAAAGTAGTAAAGTTAACAGATTGAGCCAAGCTTCATGTTTGAGTCTAATCCTCCTTGTTGGCTGTAATGTGGACTGGTGAGTCCTCCATGTTGGCTTTAATCTGGACTGGTAAGTCCTCCATATTGGCTCTAATGTGGACTGGTGAGTCCTCCATATTGGCTCTAATGTGGACTGGTGAGTCCTCCATATTGGCTCTAATGTGGACTGATGAATCCTCCATGTTGGCCCTAATGTGGACTGGTGAGTCCTCCATGTTGGCTCTAATGTGGACTGGTGAGTCCTCCATGTTGGCTCTAATGTGGACTGGTGAGTCCTCCATGTTGGCTCTAATGTGTACTGGTGAGTCCTCCATGTTGGCTCTAATGTGGACTGGTGAGTCTTCCATGTTGGCTCTAATGATGTGGACTGGTGAATCCTCCATATTGGCCCTAATGTGGACTGGTGAGTCCTCCATGTTGGCTCTAATGTGGACTGATGAGTCCTCCATGTTGGCTCTAATCTGGACTGGTAAATCCTCCATATTGGCTCTAATGTGGACTGGTGAATCCTCCATGTTGGCCCTAATGTGGACTGGTGAATCCTCCATGTTGGCCCTAATCTGGACTGGTGAGTCCTCCATGTTGGCTCTAATGTAGACTGGTGAGTCCTCCATGTTGGCTCTAATGTGGACTGGTGAGTCCTCCATGTTGGCTCTAATGTGGACTGGTGAGTCCTCCTTGTTGGCTCTAATGTGGACTGGTGATTCATTCACGTTGGCTCTAATCTGGACTGGTAAATCCCCCATATTGGCTCAAATGTGGACTGGTGAGTCCACCATGTTGGCTCTAATATGGACTGGTGAGTCCTCCATGTTGGCTCTAATTTGGACTGGTGAGTCCTCCATGTTGGCTCTAATGTGGACTGGTGAGTC